AGTTGAACGGTAAATCCGCCTTACTAGCGTTGGCTATCTTTTGTTTGCTTTTTTGGACGTAGGACAAAATTCCACGATAGATGTCATCGCCACGAGGGTCAAGCGGGGCAAAGGTTGGTTCTGCTTCAACGCATGTGGTGAGTTTGGTGCAGCTTTGTTACTAGGAACACGCTATTGATAATTTACAATGCTTCCTACCTACGTTGAAAAAAAAGAAAATCCCGAATTTGAACCAATGAAGTGCAAGCTGCAATTCCGTACCTCTAACCGTTAGATCTTCACGCCACGCCATGCTGCGTTGAAAGTAAAAATTGTACTTGTACACAGTGGCCTTCAGTATGTATAAAAGACATATTTGATATCAGCGCCTGAAACCCATAAGGAGAGTGAATTCCATAATCAAGTAACCCTGGCAAGGTGTTCTCCAATGCCGCCGCCACTTCTGCTTGATAGTGATGGCTGAATGACGACTGCCCTCATGATTCCACTTGTTTGATATTATAGAATCTAGAATTATAGGATAGAATAGGAACGAATCATGAGCATTTCAATGAACTGATAGACATTGAACATGAAACAAGTAGAATCACGAACAGTCGTCGCCCTCCGTTTTCCCAATCGCGCCACTGTCCCCACCCCAAGCACGAATTTGCAGCAGGGTTCAAATCAGCACTAGCAGACTCATCGGTACTCCTTCAACGCAGGGTCAGTCCTACGTTTGTTATAGAACAACGGGGGGGTCGTACTCGGTTGAGTTTGTAGGAGGGGGTCGTACCACATGGAGTTTGAGGTGAGCAACTGTTGAGGGGCGTAGGAAAGAAGTTGCCGTTTCAGCGCGCGTATATACCCCCCCGCTCGACGGCATTTTTGGAGGAAAAAGTGGGCGGAGTTTGGGGGTTGAGTGGTAGTGAGAATTAAATACTATAGAGACGATGATGGTGGTCGAGGTGTGGAAAAGGGGGTCGTATCAAATCCACCTTGGGGGAGGGGGGGTCGTCAAAAATTTTCAAAAAGTAACAACGATAGGGTTGACCCTGCTTGGAAACTGTCCCTGTGATCCATCGCAGGTCTCGCGCACACATTCGCGCAACATCCCGCGCAAATCGCGAATCGACTGAGAAACATCCGGCGAAACCCTGCGACGCTTATTCGCGGGACTCCTGACAGCCCAGTCTTACAGGTCGATGTGTTCGTTTTATCTCTAGTGAGTGAGTCCGGCTTCAGTCTAATCATCGCCCAGCCTTTCATCCCAAATTCATGATAATCAAAACTCATTGTTCGGCTAGACAGCGGGGTCCATCCATCTATTTATGTCACTTCACTATTGCATAATCTGTAGAGAAATCATTATTCGGTCATGAAACTATGCATGCAAATCTTTTCAATCAAAAGGAACGTCCCGGAAAATCCTTACATTTTCTCCCGACATGAAAAGTTGCAATCATTAACCAAGGAAATCTTTCGAATTTCGCCATGTAACCCTGAAGAAGACTTAGGTTCAATACGCCTTGCCTTGGACGTTGATTACGAATATGGCACTCAACAACTGCTACCCCCTCACACTTTATACACATCGTGTCGAGCACCTCAAAAGCTCAAAAGAACGCCTAAACTGACGTCCACGAAGTATAACCCATGTGGCAACACGGTTGCTTCTGCTCCGGATTCTTGTTCTGACAGGGGTAAATGGGTACCACATAAGATCAACAAAAAATAGAAGAAGATTATTATTACAAAAAGCACATAAAGCGAAAATAAATGAAAAAAAAAACCATCCGCTAGGTCGAGCCTTGCTTCGTCGACCGTTTTTGCCAAATTTTGAAGCTAACTACCCAGCTAACTTTCTACCCCCCCCCGAAGCTCACGTAGCGGTTTAATTGCATATTTTAATCCAGCCCGTTCAAGGCTTCCAAACTATCGAAATCACACCTCCGGGCTCTCCCATTCCAAAAGTTGCTGGACGTCGAAAGCATTTCTGTAAGACACCATGCGGTGTTTCACCGCACGACTGCAAGACTGCAAAAACTACCGCTCGAAGGACGGTCGCAGTTAGCCCGCAGACACGGCATGGAAGTAAGTCGCCTTCGAAGGCGGGCGCCGTATCACGGCCGCCGTCTTGTACCAGAATCCCCCAATCAGAAGCGTCGTCGATTTTGGAGAAGATCGACACAGGATGCATCGTAGTAGTAGAAGTGTGAGACCTTACTGCAATAAGACAAAAGGTTAAAAGGAGTAAGTGACGGCACTCCGAAAACCAAATGAAATGTTCCCCCACCAGCTTTTGTGATAGATGTGCGGCGGGAATTTGGATGCTGAACAGCTCTTCCGGTTTTTAGAATTATGTCAAAACAAATGCAATTTTTGTTTCTGTCGTGAACGAATTACCCCTAGTCCTCACTTCATTCGATTACCGGGTGAATTAGTATAAGGCGTCATTTTAAATCTAATCAGATGTCCTTCAAAGGAGAAATCTGCCAAGTTGTTCGAAAATACACCAGATCTACGAATATCCAAACTTACCCTATGGACCCTCACAAACATATTAATTCACACCCAAAACCGAATCCTACTAAGCTGTCTACTTCATGACCATTCACATCATCCCACCACACATGAAGGTCATCTGAATTGAATTTCCTTCCGACGATCTCCCACTATTGCTCACCCCCCCGTATCCCACCTTCACGGCCGGTCACCTCCACCCACCAACCCCCCAACCCCGATTCACCCACGTCGCGTATCCAATAACACTTCACACGGAACACAACGCCACTCGCATCATCGAGAAGGATACAGCGTTTTAGCCGCTGATCAAGTTCTTGTTTGGCCAACATGTGCCCCCCGATTTCCCCCTCGGTCAGCGTCCGTAGTGGCAGTTCGTATTGCGAGTGACCCTTACTGATTGAATGTGGAATGCCTGTGATGTGTTAATACGCCGAACCTTGGTTTTTCTTGGCAAGATCGCAAGATTCGGCCTTCCTAAATTTGACCGCATCAGAGGACCCGACCTGACGCAGAAGCGCATGAACATTACGCCATCTTTCCCAGCCCCAATAAAACTTACCTAATCATTTACTGTGGATATATTGTGGATACAGTACCTAATTCCAGATGAATTTTTCGAATTTTATACCCGGCCTACCTAAAAAGTGCTGACTATACGTTGCAGGGGAAACCGTGAGAAGCATCAAGAAGTACACCTGATGTTGATTTTTTTGGAGACTATGGCTACACATGCTATTGAAGCTCCAGTCACAGAGCTTAATCATCCCTATGAGATAGTGACGCTGTGCTAGTTTGTGGCCCATTTCCACTAGTAATTTGAACTCGGACGGTCAGAGCCAACACTCGTGAGTAAGGATTTCGTAAACTACCCTTTTTGGGATGCGGCACGCATTCTACTTCCATTTGTACATTCGCAGTGGCGTTTGAATGCGATGTGGCCTATACAATGACTTGCGGGGGCCAGCCGATGTACAAGTCAGTGTTTTTATCCTCCCAGACAAGTCTGGTACCAATTAACCGACCCCGGAGGGATGGAAGGCTTGGTTGGCCCGGGCGACTCACGACCCAGGATTTGATCCCGGACCGCTCGCGTGGTGAAGCGTGCCACTTGCCACTACATGTACTTTTCCGCCCTCGAATGACCAAGTGGACAAACCAACGCAAAATCACCGGTGGCCCACAAATCTACGGATGAGTGGTATCTACATCCAAACGGAAAACCCGCCGTTAGGAATGAAACAATGTGATGAGGACGCCATGTGACATTCTTCAGTTCGTCGTGGTAGGGTAATGGTTCATTGTAAACCTAATGACAATGGGTAGCAAGGGCGCAGAATAGGGTAACTTTGCTAGTTCCCACCCCAAACAGACATCCGGAGTGGTAACTACAATTAAGTAGAGGGGGCTGCAAGGTGAGCTAGTTGAAATTTTTATCTAATCAAGTTGAAATTTATTTCAGGTTAGAAGAAGATGCTACGCATCAAAGTTCTGCCAGCTCAAGAATAAATACTTTGGAATTCCACTTGTGTGTTTTAGCTTTGGTGATAAAATTTTGGAGCCTCAAAGAGTATAAAAATTTAGATGAAAAGCTGTTCAACATAGACGAAAAGCTGGACGTTCAGAATAGGTTGATAGCAGAACATGTGTGCAAAATTTCCAAAGTGGATTCAAAGGCAGCGATTTCGAAAAATTCAAGAAGGGTTTAGTGTAACGTGGTTGTGCTCAATGGTGCAACCAGTGGCGAAGAAAACAGAAAAATTCGCCAACAAAACGCAGGACGGGACCCCCTTTTTGGCCGTTGGTTTTCACACTGGTAAATTTTTGCCATTTCTGATCACTGGTCTCATCTGTGTCACCTGAAAATAAGCGCTTATTTTTGACGTCAAGCAGGTCACCAGAGATAATTTGAAGGAGGTACTACTGTGGGACAAAATTAGCCTGTGAATTTTGTATGCGCTGTTTCACATGGCTGATATATGGCTTGACTGGAAGCGGCTGAGGCCCACGTGCTCTCAAACGCCTTTTTGTGGTTCTCATTAAAACGCTAAGCTCAAAACCGAGCTACCAACAAATGGATCATCCTGACAAAAGTGGAGAGCTCGTTCTCAACATGGCCCCAACCAATAAAATTCTAAAAAAAATTATTTGAAAGAAGCCTGAGCTAAAATTTGCTAAGGAGGCATGCGTGCCACCATCAAAGCGTTTTCGAAGCTTTTATGAGCTACAAATCGGCCGAAAACAACAATCCCCAATAACTTTTAAACTATCTACTTTATGTTACTATCGCTGTATGTGGGAAAAATATCGTCCCATTTTGAATTCAAATTGCGATTTTTTCACGTAATGATTGCTCTGTTGCCATTCTTGGATAGAGAAGGAGCCATACGTCAAGTCTCGCTTGCGTAATAACTTCGTATAGCCGGGAGCAAGAACAAGTGGTGCGCTGGAACTGGATCAGGCTTTTAAAGCCAGAGACGCTACAGGTAGGCCTTAGATCACCTGCCATGCAGAGCACCGTAATTCATAAAGCTAGGCTGTGGCTCACCAGAATTCTGAAGCATATATCGAAGATCAGGCAGCATCACGATACCGGTTCCTTCACGATCGAAGTGCGCCAGAAGAGTCTAAATTGCTAGACAAAATATGCATAATGATCCGAGCATAGTGTTGTAGCAAAGATTCTGATGGAATACAGCGAATTCTGAGGGAACTCAATTATTTGACTTGAAGGCAAGCGCCGGGATTAAATGAAGGAGCTCTTCACACAAATATGGCGCCCCGTGGTGCTAACTGCGTCAAGACCTAAAAGCAGAACTACCCCCGAAAAAGGTCCAAAATAATGACCTCCTCTTCGTTAGTTACTTACAAGCCAGGGCTGGGAGGATTACGTGTCTGAACGTGTTCACAGCAGCTGCTGGCTCCATGCCAACAACCGACACGGCCATAAAATCAGCAGTGGAATTAATTCCTTCTAATTTTCCTATTTTTTCTGCTTTTTTGTTTGTTTTTCCTATTTTAAAAATTTGATTCTTCTTAGAATGAATGGCAAAGTTCCCGATAATGGCCGTAACATAGACTTTGATGTTGAACTTGGCAGTCGAAATCCGCAAAATATCCTCCTACGACCTTCCAAACAACGGCTTGACATCTAGTGTTCCAAGTGGTTGTTTGGAAGGTCGCGTGGAACAGTGGGCGGGCTCAATGGGGTTGGGGCGGCGCCAATGCTCCAACCTAGGCTCCTAGCGCCTAAACCTTGTCAAATCGCCCCGCCACTTCTGCACATGGTCCGCGCTTGCGTACTGCTGCATATTTGACGGGAAAAGCTAATTTTCGACCAATTATCCCGAACTTTGCCTTTAATAAAGCTAACTCACGTGCAACTCTTCAGCGCTCGGTGGGAGTTCCAGCCTCCTTCTTCACATTCTTATAAATCGGCGCAAATTCTTCCATAGATACACGGGCTTCTGGAAAGTACCATTTCTACCATTTCTGTCTGCTGAGAGGATCCGTGCCCAAGTGAAAACCCCTAGAGCTGAATTTCTAAGGTAAACGACACACCTTTAACATGACTCACCTGGTTGATCTTTCCACTGCTGCGTCATCCGCTCAATCAGACCCTCGGTTGGCTGAAGCTGCATTGAACGAAGGCAGTTCCCTATCTGAACGCTTTGAATGCCGCAGATTTTTGGAGACATTACTTCAAAATGTAGTGAATCTAAATGCATAAGGGATCCCCGAAGACCAAATAAATAATAAATGATGAAGGACACACTCCACGATCAGATCACTCCCATTGGTCCTAGCACGAAGAAGCTAGCGTGGACGTCACATGGAGCGGGCTGCGAGCGCATAGGATTCACCTATTTAGCCACACGAAATCGCCATGGGGACGCTCTTACCAGGGAATACTTACAGGCAGGGCCAACCGTCACGTTGGACCAATCTCGAAAATTTCACGACCCCCTCCCCCTTCTGGACCCTCACCTGCCATCGCCATCATGGAAGCGATTCTACAGTATTTGATTCTGAGACCAGTCGACACAGCCCAACCCGCCCACTTTTTCCTCCAAAATTGCCGTCGAGCGGGGTATATATATCAAACGTGAAACGGCAAAATTTTCGCACTCAAAATCCCATGTCTATTTCATGAAAAATCATCCCTTCCCTTACTGTAACATTGACGCTACCTCGCGAAATACGACCCCCTCTTTTCCACCCCCAAATACGACCCCCACCCCCTCGTTGGACTTTGTCCAACGGACGGTTGCCCCTGCTTACAGGACAAAGACAATAATAAGGTAGGAAAGTAGTATGTAACATTTATATCATCACTACAAGTAATAATAAACTTAACGTCTTGGG